TTCATTACTGCCAATTTCTGATGCATGGTATTAATTTGGTTACAGTATGATTCAGCATTGATGGTTTCGCCAGGATTTAAGAAGCTGTAGTGTATTAAACCAAATGAAGCCCACCATACCGTAACCATTACCTTTTTTTGATGAGTTGGGGGCTTTGGAGCTTCTCCTTTGTCGAGCCACTGTCCAGAACGTCTAGTGTTATCGTAGAGAATCCACTTTTCGTCACATGTAACAATTCTGGCCAGAAATGGGTCATTTTTGTTTCGACAAAGAAGTGATGCACAAACATCAAAGCGCTGATTTTTTGGCGATCGTTTAATGAGTGTGGAACCCAATTTTCGAGTTTTTTCACTTTTCCAATCGCCTTGAGGTGGTCAGCGACGGTCGTTTTACTGACTTTGAGTTGCTCTGCAAGTTCTCGAACAGTTGTTTTGGGGTTTTCTTCCACCACTGATCGCAGAACATCATCATTAAGAGAGGAAGGCCTTCCACGACCTTCTTCATCTTCAAGGCTGAAATCTCCCTCCCGAAATTTTTTAAACCACCTTTGCACAGTGCACTCATTAACACAACCCTCGCCCCAGACTTGGTTAATGTTTCTAGCCGTTTGGGCTCCGCTTCGGCCGAGTTTAAACTCGTAAAAGAAAATCGTACGAAATTCTCGCTTTGACATTATAAGGATGACTGAATTATTTCCAAGTAGCGGAATGCTACAGAGGTAAACAAACAATATCATTTGGAAGAGGATTAATAAGTGTTGACATTCATACAAATGAGTAATCCTGTAAACGTAAACAGAATATTTTATATAGATTTTTTTTAATGAAAACTTAAAATCCTGCATTATTTTCCGGACAACCCGATAGTAAACATATAGATTACTCATTTTGTAAACAAACACATTTTCTTGTCTTTTCTCCATTTTAATGCACTTGTATTCTCTTTAACCATGGAAAGATATCATCTTGAACCAGAATTTCACAATATTATTGTTAGAAATGACATTGAGGTCACTGGCAAGTGGATATCGAAGAGGCAGTTGGCGTATCTCAGAGAGTGGCCTCCCGAGCTTTAGCCCGATTCCGAGAGACTGGAAATGCCAATAGGAGGCCTGGTAGTGAATCTCAGCGCATTATGACGCTAAGGGAAGACAGCAATATTGTCATTGCTGAAGGCGAAACCCAACTCTTTCTATAGTGCCCGCCAAATCCCAAATAAAGTACAAGATGTTTTGGCAAGGCCTTTATCAGTTCGAATTCGTTTGTAGGAGGTTGGCCTCACGTCGTATGCCCCTTTCAAACGGCCTGCAGCAAAGCCCGCCACCAGGAACTCAGGAGAATATGGTAAAGCGAGGGCCTAGAAGAGAACATCAGTTAGAATGCTGTTATGTTTACTGATGAGTCGCGTTTCTGTCTGTATAGTGATAGCAAGTGCCGAAGAGTACCGAGAACAGGGGATGTACAATGCTCCAGTTAGTGTTCCTTTCAGAGCTGTTTGGAGGACTCAGTGTAATGGTCTGGGATTTACGCTGGTGGACGAAGAGGACTCCACATTGTTGAAGGCAACCTCACCGTAGTCCGTTATATCCAAGAAATTATCGAGGAAAAAACATCCCTCAAACCCGGGATCCCATTGGCAGGGATTTTCGATTTCAGGATGACAATGCCAGACCTCGTAGAGGTCAGTTTGTAGGTGCAACGAGCGCCTAGAAGAGAACACCAATTGGAATGCTGTTAGGTTTACTCTGAGTCGCGTTTATGTCTGTGAATTCCAGTTTCTTTCGTTATCCTATACAGATAGACCTAATTTTATCTTGTTTTAATTACCTTGCTCACTGTTACTTATTACCTACTTTAAGGTAGTTGTAATGTACTACAAATTATACAAAACAAAAACAAAAAAAAACATTTTTTTGGTTTTTGGTTTGTATTTTTTATTTTGTTGTAACAAGAACCGATTAACAAGACTATATCGGTTAATTTGAATAAAACTAATATAAAGTACAAATATCCATATTCATTTTTGCGCAGTTTAGTAATTCGATCTAAAAATAATAAATAGTTTTAGATTGATTTAAGTTACCGGGAAACTAAAATATAGTTAGCAACCAACTAATAGTAGCAGTACTCGATACAAAATCAACCTTGGGATCAACTTAATTGCAATTTTATACAATCTCAGTACACATCATTACATAATATAATAGAGCCCACGGTTTCTTTGTGTCAAACTCGTTTGGGCTGGAAATATGGCTGAATTTTGTCTTATACTCACTTTTTCAATGGCGGATCTGAATCTGGACCATTGTTCGACCCAATAATGCAAAAGTGTTGTGCAACGATTCGTTTCTGAGTGGATCGTTCAGAGGTCACAAAGAGAAGATTTCAATTTCCACTGGGTTTCGCTAATTGTATCATATTTACTTTCTGAAAAATGTATTCGCCCATTATATTTAATGGTTCTCGAGGCGAATTCTCATGTGAAATGATGGATGAAGGTTGGAAAAGCAAGTAAAGTAAAACGTAATATGAGTTTCTTTTAGAAGTAAATTGTAACAAACCACTTCCTTGTCTATCTTAGTTTGCCCGTTCAAAATATTTACTCACGTGCCCTTCCGTGAATAGCCAGCCAGGCATGTATAAGTTAGAACACCTCTTCAACATATTAAATCTAGCTAAACTTAGTGTTAATTATTAAGCATTATAAACATAACATATGCAAAGGAACGTATAGTTTGTCAATTATCTGTGATTTGATACAATTATTCGGCATTGATTAAAGAGAATCTTACAGTTTTTGTAAACTAACAAGAAATTAGTCTAATGAAATATTTTAAAATAGATTTGGGACAAATTTTAATATTAAACTACTATTTATTTTAGCTCTTTACTTTAAAACATTCATTTCCTTAACTTATTGCGCAGAAAAGTTAAACGAGTATAAATAAGGATTGGGAAGTTGTGTTTATATTCAGTTCGTTCTGTTCCAATTTTACCTTCTTATTAGAAAGATTTTGCATAACGTTTCCGCTGTTTCAAGGTCACTGTTATATTTGACCTCTTTTGAATAACGTTGACGCTATTTGAAGCCTTTTTTCATAGGACTTTGATGCTAATGCTGTTCCCTGTGGAGTAGTAGTTTGGGCTAAAGACTTATCTTACAAGGTTGAAAACAAAGGCACCGTTTGTTTACTGGTGTTATGGATTTTCTATTGATTGCTGAAGATAGTTTGGCAAATGACCTGATAGTTGTGAAAAAGTTCTAACGTACAAATTAAGGCAAGTTCGGTTTAAATCGAATTGAGGAAGTGTCAAAACTATTGTGAAAAAAAAACTTTATCTTAGCGTAGCAATTTAGGAAAAACTAAAATATTAAAGAGCATTTAGTTTGCCATATGCATATTCATTATAACCTCATGCTATATCTGTCTCTTAGAATTTTAACTTTTAAATTGTATATTGGTTCAACCAAAGGGTTTTAAGCAATTACTGAGGCTTTATTGAAGGAAAGAGTTGCTGTATTTCTAGTTGTCATTCCTACTTGTTTGTAAACCAAAAAGCTACATATTTTAATGTTGGAGCACCAAATTCATACATTCTTAGGATACGGTATTCATTAAACTTGTACGAATTGTAAAATAACTATAAAATAAACTATTTTGTTATATTTCTACGCATATAGTATTGTTTTAAATTGGACAATTTTTTCAACAAAAAATTACATTGACTACCATCACCCGCTAACAAGCACGCTATTTCAGATAGCGTTCCGTTAAACCTATGCAAGCACACTTCAATCAATTTAGCGTTGCGTTAACGTTATGCAAAATCTCCCTATTTTAGTTTTATATGTAAAAAAAATCTATACTCCAAAATCATGTTTTCTCCTAATTTTGAGTCCGCATGGAAGGGGTTTTGTGAAGTTAAAAATCAATTGATCATCATGGATTATTTCCTCGATTTTAATAGTATATCAACTGTTTATCAGCTGTGCATATATATCAAAGAATTGCCCAGGGGTTTTACATTAGAAAAATAAATTGAAATCAAAATCTTAAATTGCATTTTCTTTTCCGGAAATTTATGTAAATAGGACGATATATAAAATTTTAGTTTTTTCATTGCTAGTAATGAGATGTAGAAATACTATGAGTCATATTATGCAACTTTCATTCAAAGCCAAGAATCTTGAAATATTATATATAAAAAAGTTTAAGTTATTATTATTATGAAACTGATCTGGTATTCTGTTGGACTGTTAGTTTTAGTTCTATTTTTTACACTGAAAGAATTGTTAAGAAGAAACTATTGGAATTTAAATAGCCGGGCGAAACTCCAATAGGGTAAAGCGTAATTTACAGTATGAGTCAAACTAAAAATAACTACTTCTGAACGGTCCGTGATTACTAGAAAAAGTCAGTTTTGACTTCATTGATATAAAAAGGAAGAAAGCTGAAAAGTGGACGATTGAGATTTTACAGTAACAGGAATTACGCGGTAAGGTCGATCGCTTCTGATAAGACTGTCATTAATATTAGCATATATAGCAAGGAAATCGGATTCGGGATGATGACGGGTTATGGGAAAGATCAGTTGTGCCGGTAGCACGAATACCGTTTTGCCATCCTACTCCATCGTACCGTTAGTGTCTCGTCAGAGTTCAGCCCGGATTTCGGTCTGGTGAAGGTTTCGACCGTCTGGCCGATCCGCGGGCACGGATGTTCAGGAAGATTGCATAAGTCCGTGATTACGGTTTGGACCATAGGCGTGGTGGAGCTGGCGCCAGGCGCAACAAGGTCAAACCGACAGCTAATGTCTCTTAACAATATCACATCAACAATTCTTCCCAATGCCTCCCAAGGACTCGTCGGACCTCACTAATAACGGCAGTCATATGTCATTTTCAAATAGAGATGGATGGGTGCTCTTGGGAACGGACACCCGATTCCGTAGTAAACTAATCGAAGCAAATCAGTTAAGAATTTCTATTTGTTTTTCTAGGTAGTCTCAACTAGTCTTCCGCGTTCGCCACGTCCGATTCCGACAGTGTTCGAAATGCACATAACGGAAATTTCCAAGGAGCACGATTGGAAGAGCTGGGCCATTAATATTGCCAACTTTCCTGGCGCCACGTCTGAGGGTAATTATTTGACTAATAATCGGCATCACCGCTGGCTGCATGTTGTTAGCTGGTTTCGCAGTCGTGGAATGCATCTCGGCTCAGGTCGTGTACCGTCCCGACGCTCCACAATTTTTTTTTCTCCCACCGCGGCCTCTATATTTTTTCTCTTTGCCTTTATACACGAAATGATTACGACGTAGGAAAATATCCCCGGAAAAGAACGTAAATATTTGATTTTCTTCGGTGTATACACCGTTGATAATTGTCATGTTTTCTAGCTCCCTCTCAAAACGTCCTTGGGCTTTTATCTATTAAAATCTCATGCTTTGCTTTCTGCGGTGTTTTTTATTTTTTTAAACAATAGTGTGTTGATTTACTGTTGCTTTCTGAATTGACTGCTTACTGAAACTAAGAATTAGATTTTAAATTATTAACATTATTCGCATAATATTTGAATAATAAGTTGCCATATCATAGAAAATTTCTCATAGGTTGTTTAATAATCGTTTATTTACAGTTTCTCGAGGAATTGAATAATTACGACAGACTTTTCAATTTAAGATAAGTATGTAAGTGAAACCTAGCTCTCAATATGTATATAGACGAATTTATGTTGATACGACACATAAAGCCATAATATAAAATGCATTAATCCAGTTATAATTAATAATTTTACGCTTAGTTTTTCAAATTGTTCTTGATCTTTTGGATAAAAGAAGTGGTGGAATAATAAACATATTTCCAGTGTTAGATCATCGCGTATTGACGTTGTAACATTTTGAAAAATATTTTTTTTAAAGTGCCCTTTGGTAAAATGTCAAAAAACACGCGATTGAATTTCAAGTTTCATTAAGTTACTTTCAGTAAAAGTCCTAGACATTTCGTGAAAGGGTTGACCCCTCTCTAGGAGGACTTTCTTCTTTTCTACTGTCTTCTGCATTTCCTGATGATACTTCAAACATAACTCATTCCAGTTGACAGTACTCATCCTTATGATTCTGAAAAGCGCGAAAGTTGTCCATCCGCCGGTCATAGTCTGTGTATTAGAAAAGGCAGAGCTGTTGAGATCTACTCATGGATTAATAGAAGTAAATGCCTTCCGTAAGTATATCCTTTGTTTGTACAGGGCTTGAAATCTGACGTCCTATCCAACTTCTGCAGAAGTTTCAAAATTCAGATATTCAGTTACAAAAAACGTTTTAATGCCTTAATCATTTTAACTATTTTATAATGAATGATAAACGGACAGATTAGAGAGGTTAGAGGTCTTTCGTTAACTTAACATTCGGTAATCAGTCTACCGATCACTTAAGAATTTAGGGTTGCCAATATGCCGATCCCAGATCTGAAAAGCTGTGAAAATACAAAACATTTTAATGTCTCAATCGTTTTAACTATATTATAATTAGTGATAATCCAACAAATGGAGATGTTTTAAATTAAACTGTTCTTCGGACCAAACAGATAAACTGCATTTTAGCAGGCTTAAGAGGCTTGAAACGTCGGCCTTTCTTCTCATCTATTGATAAAGAAGAATAAGAAAAATCTGAACTTGTTTGAAAAGCTGAAATTCTTCAAGAAATTCCACAAAAACCGTCCTCTTTCTGACTTCTTTATTTAATGTTATATTGAAAACTACACTTTCTCATACAATGGATCCTGTCTTACATTAAAATGATCCAAAAGTTAATATGATTATAAAAGTTCAAGCATCCCATCATCCTATCGAGTTAATAGTTTGTTACTCGTTCCTTCTAAATTATTCAAAAAATTAACTCACAAAAGAATTATCTCTATTGCTACTTCGAATAAGTACTCATCTTCAGTTACAGATTACATTACTTTATGTCTCGAGGAAAAATTGTACGTGTCTGGTGTGTGATTTTAGATGTTTCTCAGGGCTTCGGCAAAGAATAGGATGAAGTGCTAATATACAAACTAAAACTATTTTTACCCCAGGCCTATCATCGGATTATACAATCATACCTTAAAGAGAGATTTTTCGCAGTAAACCAGGGATCTAAGAATTCTGTGATAAAAGAATTGCTTTCGGGTTTGCCACAGGGGTCAATACTCGCTCCGCTATTGTAGACAATTTTTACTATTGATACGCCCTCAAATAAGTTTGCACTTACCACCAGATACGAGGATGATGTACCCATATTAACAAGTCACCCCTCTTCTACACACGCTCCCTTTATGTTACAAAACCGAATATCAACAATTGAAAAATGGAGCAATTTTTGAAAAGTTTAACACCTCAAAGTCAGAACACATCACCTTTACACACCGCCGTGAAACTTGCCCTAGCCGTATACTTATATGTACAATCTGTACTTGTAGCACAATATCACAAAGTTTCTAGGACCTTTTCATAGAATCTTTCAGGACTACAGATACGCCACATACGCAGTTGACACCTCCTTATTAACAAGTAGAAGAAGAGGTCTACCCAAGCCTCCCTTTATGTTACAAAACCAAACGTCAACAATTAAAAAATGGAACAGTCTTTCGAACTCCTTTCTGTCCATTCTTAAGTAAACAATAACACGCTCCACCCAGATCTTCATAGGCCAGCTATTTCATCCATCAAAACATAATATTTCAGACGTTTTCACATTTAATTACAAGGTTACACTACACAGAAATAGATTAGTATATTGCACACCGTAGACGAATGAAAAGAATGTGGATAAGAGTCCTCGTGAAGGATTAATATCATATTATTGGGGGCGTCGGTGGCGGAGACACGGCGCTCATCACTGTAAGGTGAAGGTCTCGGGTTCGAATCCAGCGGCCCCGACATACTTACAAATGGGTTTTTTTTTTTTTTTCAAAAACACCGGAACCCAGAGGGTTGATATGACCTCTGCTATTGCGTACCCTCGTAAAAAAAATCATATTATTAATCCAGAGCGGCTGCCAGTGTGTAGTTTTCTCTTAAAGCCAGCAATGTCACAATCACGAATTGAAATCCCCGTTGTATATAATACAAGTATAATTTTAATTGAACTTAAATGAAATAAAAAACTTTACTCAAATTCAAACTATCTTATTACATAATTTGATTCCAACTGTTGGTGTAATTTTGGTTGCAATTTTAGGAATTTGAAGTGAAACTGGTTGTTGACTGTACTTATCCTTCATTACGTATTATTAGTGTGCATTTTCATGATGAGGACTTATGAATTGATTAATTTTAAAAGTATGTAGTGTTATTTAGCGGACCGTTGTGAACTATGATGACATCCTGTTTTTTGTTTTTGTGTTTTAGCTGTCTTGATCCAATCATGTAAAGTTTTAAAAAACAGGTTTTCTCTCGGATATTTGTCTAAAGAAAAAAATTGTGGTCTAAAACCAAGGAGATCCCTTATCTGAAACAGACCATTTGCACCTCAATTATTGACCTTGCCTTTGTTAACAGACTGATAAAAGTGTCGTTAGCTCGTATTGAGATCCGGGTCCCCCCCGGATCTCACTTCCAGCTGAATCCTAGACCTTAGGATGTGTGTAAACATTCCGGAAAAAGCCTGTCAAGAGTCAAAAGTCTTTTAGAGGAATTGGAACGTTTCACCGTCCTTTGCTTTATTCACGGCCGTTTCCACTTTCGTCACCTTCTTTCGGCCCTGAATTGCCGCCACATCAAAACAAAAATCTTTTTGGTTTGTAAAATGTTTTTGCGTATCTCCTAAATGAAGAGTGAGCAAAAAGAAAAATGGCATTTAAATCGGCAGGAAAATAAATTACTAAAAGCTACAAATTAAAAGTGAAGGAATTTACTTTTAAAAAATCTAAGGTTCAAAGCAAATGGTAAGGCAAGTAAAGCTAAAAGTAATGTAAGCTACGATGATCACTTACATGCTACAGTTTAAACATTTAAAAGAGTAATTAGAAATATTCTTCATTACGGTTGTCAGATAAGTGTGTTATAAAATATTTAAGGAGGTCAAAAACTTATAAATGCTCTAAAATACCACAATTCCTTTGGAATTTAGAGATAATTGAACATCGCATTTATCACGACCTGCAGATAGATTTTGTCTACCCACCTTTGTTATTTCATCTTCTCTTATTCTGTTTAGATAAAATATCATGCAAACTAAAGAAGGCGAGAACCTGTAAAGGAGGATCGGCAGACCAAAATGATCGGCCAACGATCTCTATCACCCCGCAGATCCCCAGAGGAATACATGGCTTAAAGTAGTAGATTCGACCACTTCTTTTACTCACGAATAATCTAGATCTGGATTTAAAAAAATCACTTCGATCTGCCAAGCTTTCAACCCATTCTAAGTTCATTATCAGAGTAAAACAGTTTTAAAGATGTCTAAAAATTGACATGATTAAGGTTTTAATAAATGGTTTCAAGTTTCCTTCAAGGTATAATCAGTCCCAACATTGCCAAGGACTGTAGCACAATACGTTACCTATTTGGCCCTGATACCCAGATTCAGATTTTTCGTGATCCTCACAATTTAGTTGTTATTGACGTAATTACTTTACTTCCTTGGAATAAAACTTGTGTCAGAAATAACCAATCATTTCTAAAGTGGCTGTTGAATCACAACAGGCTGAAAAAATGTGTCGCGGCATAAATTCTAATTGTGACTACAAAACACCACATGGAACAATATAGCAGGGGGCGTCGGTGGGCGCAACGGTTTATGCGTTGTTACGGCGCTCATCACTGTAAGGTCCCGGATTCGAATCTAGCGGCCCTGCATTCGAACGCGACATACTTACAAATGGGGTTTTTTTTTTTTTCAAAAACACCGGCACCCCGAGGGTTGGTATGGTTGATATAACCTCTGCTGTTGCGAACCCTCGTAAAAAAAGCATTTAGATACCGCAACATCGTATCGTCGTTGCTTATCAGATTTTAAGGGTACCTTTAAGACATAGTAGTGCATCCTCTTAGCACGTCCTAACAGGATTGCATAACAGTAGTAGTGTTTCAGCTTCGTAAGCCACCATCAACTTTGCTCTTTCTTCTTCATTACTATTTAGTCCATGGGTAT